GACAGGACCACTCTGTGGGAAAAACCTGGTTATGATGGGATAAGCAATCAGCCACAAGATTCATAATTTTGGGAACATGACACCCCAGAACTGTCATGTCATAGTACAGGAGATCCAGTCTGAAAACACAAAGATCTGGACTTCATTTCTCCTTGCTTGGTGATATAGCTAATGACAATGAAATTGTCAGAATGAGCCATAAACACCCGCCCCCACAGGAGCAGAAGAAAATCATACAGAGTCCAATGAACTGCCAAAGGTTCCAAGATGTTGATATGGAGAGTAGCCTCCTAGACTAACCACAGAACCAAAATCTCTTAGGGAATCAAGGAAATCCCCCAACTAACCAAGGAAGCATTTATGAATAGATGAGACTTGGGATGAGGTGTAGGAATGGGAACCCCCTAAGTGGTCAAATCCCTGTCAAGCCACCAAGCAAGGTCAGCTCTGATTGAAGGTCAAAAGGTGATGGGATGGTCCAAGGGATCACAGGAGAAGTTCCACTAGTCAAGAAGCATCCAATGAAGGGAATGCATGTGCTCCCGACCCAAGGGAATGAGAGCTTCTAAGGAAGCCCACATCCCCATACGAGATAGAATCTCATGCACACAGAGAGAAGGAGAAGTTAGGCCCTTCATGACCACCTGCTCCTTATCCCAGAGCCAAGTGAAAAAGGCTGGGCCCAACCAAGATGGTAATTGAAGAGAATTCCCAAATGTATAAGATACTGCGTGGGAGTAGTAAAGGACTTCTCCAACTTGATGAAAAACCCCACCCAAGCAGATTCCCGAAGAAGTAAGTAGGTGTGAGTAACTGACAGAGTATGGGAAGAGGCAAGCAGTAGCCATTCATTCATGTAATGGTTAGTCAAAGACCCAGCAAAGACCCACACAAAAGAGCATACCACTCAACAAAACACATATGAAGCTGAAGAAAGACCAAACAGCAGTGCCCAAAAGTGAAGATAGAACCCTCGTGGACAAACTAAAAAAACAATGTGACATTGGGGCAATTGGAATATGAAGCTAGGCATCTGTCACATCGAACTTGGTCATCTAAAATCCCACTGAAGAGAGAGGTAGGACACAATGGTGAAGCAAGGTGTCTCTAGATAGGTATACAGGATTTCACTGAAAATATACATCATTACCAATATAAAATCTGTGGAATGCCATTTACACACAGATATAGCTCGTGTGCATATTTGCTACTTGATTAATTTATAACCTCATTGATCAATTATATTTGATTAATCAATTAATATATTGTTCCTTAAACCATATGTTCAGAAAATTAATATAAATAAAAAAAAAGATTGGTAGTTGATGCTGCCAGCTAGTTGCCTTCCCTTTTGTCAGAAGTTCAAAAAGTAAAAAAAGGGTTAGACAGAAGCTGCCATACATACAGATACCTTTCCTCTAATAAACAGCTCAAAAGAGAAAAAAATAAATAAATAAAAGTAGGTGGCAAGTGTTACTAGTCATTTGCTTTCCCTCTAGTAAGCAGTTCAAAATTAGTAACAGTGGCAGATAGCCTTAGTAGCTTTGCCATACGTAAAAACAATAACTTATAAAGCTAAAATTTGCAGAGCACAGATAGCCCATTATGTAACTTTGAGTTACATTTATTGTTGGAATAACTGAAAGCATTAGTAATTAGAAACACTAATTTCCAATAGTTGATTATTTTCATGATAATCATAATTTCAATTAACCAAATATTGGAATAATTGAAAATATTAATAATTGGAAATACTAATTTCAGTTAAACAGGTTAATCATAATTTCAATTAATTGATTAGTCTATGTGACACTTATCGAAGTAATCGCTATACATAGTTAATTTACTATATTGCCAAGCTCTAAGCATAATACGAGACACAATTAGTAGAATCATACAAGCCAACTACTGTACCTGAGTGCTCCAAACAAGAACAACTCTTGCACAACATAGTGCAACTAATGAACCATTCCTGTTCAAACAACAGTATGACACATGTCCAAGTCCTGAAACTAAAACTTTTCCTTTCAGAGGTTGACCTGGAAGAGTTTAAAATATTTCAGACTTTTATAGTTCCATTATCTCCATTTGAATTTTTATGTACTTTTGTCAGTAATTATTAGAACATTACAACAGATTAAATGATGCACGTCTATGTTACATCAGTTTTCTAGCTTATATACACTTACATACAACTTACATAATTCCTGCCAGATTAACCTATCATTTAACCTTCCTTCACTTCTAGTCTTATAAAAAGTGTTGAAAAAAGAAGATATTTTCCTATTTCTATTTTGGAATATTTATTTCAAGGGCAGCTAGACATCCACAAAGGTCATTTTTGTGCTAACATGCATCTTACTATTCTGGATACAAGATTCAAACTGTACATACAGCTAGGTCATTCGTATGATTTCTATTAGATTGTCATGTGTCACATAAACAGCATACCCTGAGTTATTTTACATCACATTTTAAGAGTTTGGATTTTCTATCTTAACTACTTCTATTATTTACCAGTACTGGTTTCATGTACCTTCCTCATTTTCAATAAAGGTCAATCTGTCATATAGAGAAACCTTCACCAACAAAAGTGATGTAAAAGTTATAATTTTCCTGCACTGAAAATATATTTCTGACAAGAACTTACCTCCTCTCACATAAATAGCTATTTTTTACTCATACCACAAGCCTTTTATCTCCCTCTACGTTGGAATTTACTGATTCCAATGCGTCTCTCATGTAAATCATAATGCGTCAACCCTCCAAAAATAAGAGTGCAACATACTCTCACGATGCATATGGCTCCCTCTATTCAATTCTACCAAACTATCACCTCGAGTTTTGGCACAAAATGGAAGCACTGGTTTTCAGTGGAAGGAAGGGGGAGGTAAGTACTTATCAGAATTACATTTTCAGTGTGGGAAAAATTATAACTTCTGATACAGTACATTACTCCAACTCACATAAATAGCTAGACTCCCACATTGAATAGGTCAAGGGACAAGTGCGAAGGAAAGAAAGAAGTATCCTTCGAAAGCATCTGAAGGACACTTCCTAAGATGAGACAGTCAGATTCTAAGATCTGATGTGGGAAACTGCACCACTTCTAAACCAAGTATATTTTTTGCCTGGGTGGAAAACAGAGGAGCACATCCAATTGGTCGGATAGTGATCCAAACCATGCAATATTTATGAAACTCTATCCCAGAAATTATATAAGTGGGTAAAATGAAAAGGATGTGCCCCAAGGTGTAGAGGGGTTAGGGCATGACAGACCATATGCGGCAAGTCAACTACAATCCAAAATCCAGGCCACTGGGTACAGACATCAATGTGGGGGGGTAGGAAAGAGGATCATACCAGTAGCAAGTCAACTACAATCCAAAACTCAGGCCACTGGGTACCGACATCCATGTGGGGGTAGGAAAGAGGATCATACCAGTAGCAAGTTAACTACAATCCAAAACCCAGCCATCTGGTGGGAGTGATAAAGAGGATCATACTATCTTCACCTCAAGTTCATGAGACTGGAGGGAATCTAGTACCCCACTGACTTATAAATGGGGCACATGTGAATATGATAAATTGATATATAGATTGATCTTGGAACCTGACATCTGGTATAGAAAAGATGTCTACATAAAGGTAAACCATATTCCTCAAAAGTGAAATTGACCAGAACCACCTCAAGATCATTAACATCCCATTAACATTGAGGGAAAGAACTATAATAATCCACAATTACCTCCACCATGACCTACAACACTAATGGAATATAAATGAGGGAGGAATATAAACATTTGTAATACATCTGTGAGAACTTATGTTGATTAGTTGTACTCTAAACTAAAAAAAATAAGTTACTCAGTCAAAGTCTTACTGAATTATGATATTCTAGAATGGCTTCAGGTGGAAGACGATAACCTGAAGAGGAAGAAAACTGCAATCCAATGCAAATAGTGAGAAGACACTCAGAACAAAGTATATGAGGAAAATGATAAGGAGGAAGAAGCCAATCGATTGAAGAGCCAAACCTAGTTGGCAAAGGAGGTAGGAGAAAGAACACAAACAGAGGACGGTTGCCAAGGAATAAAGAGGTGGGAACAGACACCACAGAAGAAAACCATGTAGCCAATATAATAGAGAAGAGAAGGTACAGGACATAGAAGTCTATCCAAATCAAGCATGTAAACAGAGGAGTTATCCTCACGAGCCGCTGAAGTGTGAGGGATGAAAATGATCCAGAGAAAGGAGAAGATGTGTAGAAGGATAAAGAGTACGTGAGATATTGATGGCCAATAAACAAGCCACTGACATCCACAGAGGGATAGGAGAAGGAAGGAAGACATAAAGGAAGGTGAAACATGGAGAACTGGGAGGGTGGTTTGAATGTAAGCAAAATGAGGCAGTGCAGGACCACATTAATAATCCCATCCATAAGGACAGCCCACCATAGCGGATGAAAAATCCAGAAGACATGTCCATAGGTAAAGTGTAAGAGAGGAAAATACTTGCAAGATCGGGAAAAACGAAAAATGTGGGACAGGACCACCCGAAAATCCAAGACTGAGGAGACAAAAGAACACCAATCCAAATATCAAGAGAAGAAATTCACATGACAACGAACAGTGGGTTGATCAGAGGAAAACCCTAGACCCAGAAACCAATGATGGGAAAATTCCATTTGCGTTGAGATGCTTCCATGTAGGGAGGATGAATGAAACAAGCCAGAAAAGAGGCCAACTGTCAGAAGCCAGATCACCTCACCAATGACCAGAGAAAAAACAGGTATGAAGAGTGAGGACAAGGAGGTCTGGATGAAACACCAGTGATTGAGGATAGCAAAGAAGGGATGTAGATAGAGGAAAAGGTAATGGAGGAGGAAGTTAGAGCTGGCAAAGCTATAGAAACCACAGCTCAGACAGCCAGGAAAAAGTTATCAGAAGGAGTGAACATGAAGTATCAAGGATGAATGAAATCACCTGGAGAAGAAGGAGAATGGGAGGATAGACAAATGTGTAGGTCCAATCCTGGTTGAAAACATAGACAGCCAGAGCAAGAAGACAAAGAACCAAAGGCCAAAACCAAGGCAATTTGTGGTTAAGGGATGTAGCAAAAGCATCAATGAGAAGAATACCCCACTAATGACAAAGCCATAGGAAAACAAAAGGATTGAGAGACCACTCCATCGGATAAATGTTGTCTGGCCAGAAATCTGATCCACAACAAGAGCGAAAGCACCTAGAACATGCAATGATAGGAATATCAATGTATGGGCCCCAAAATAAGATCCAATGTATGAATACAGAGAGATGAGGAATGGATGCCACCCTGGTGATTGAAGTCAAAATGAATCATTACCAGATGATTTCTGGTCAGATGGATAAAATTAACCAAATCACTACCTACAGCAAGAAGCTCTAAGACATTAATAGGACAAAACCTCTTGGTAACAGATTAAAAACCTCATTTCTTCCAGTTGATCGACTCATGGCCCCATCCCTGAAATGTGGAAAACTGTATGAGGAGGAGGAAGGGGATACTAGCCAACATGCAAGTCATATAAACCATCAATGCTGATTAACAACAAGGATAGGAGGAAGGGTAATAAGAGCCAACAAAGGATCTCTGCAAAATTCCACTGGTTGTGAAAAGCCCACAAAAGATTCCACATATGAGCTTGACCTAACGGGCTCAGGCTACCATGGAAGATCACATCCTCAAAAGCAATAAAACTTTGCAATCTGTAAACAAACTGAAAACCCAATAAATGAAGTCAAAGAGGAGAAGGTGGGCCCGATTAAGATGTGTGCTAAAAAAGAAAAACACCCAAATGGGCAAGATATTGGATAGGTCACAGTAATGATTTCTCCAACTGGATTAACAGCCCATAATACTGCCTCCAGGAGCAGTTGATAAGGGTGACAGGCAGATTCCTGTTTGGAACAAGCAAATAGTAGCCAGTCAACAAAAGAAAGAAGAAAGAACAACCCAAGAGCATATAAGTGATGAACAAATGCTCTGAATGCCTGAAAAAACATACAGGGCCGAAGCTAGTCTGAAGGGCTGTGCATGAAACAGAGAAACCACCCCGTAGAGAGTATCACAAGTGACAAAATAACGGGATATGCAAATGAGAATTCGTAACATTCCTCTTTGTTATCAATAAACCTGGAGAGAAAGCCATCTAAGGGTGAGAAATGACTATAAGGTAAAATTGGGCAGATTGAAAATTAGAATGAGGCGAAACAAACCTGATAGAGGCCACCAGTCTCTGGTTTAGGGCAACGATAACAAATAGCCTGGAGAAAGGTGATGAACATGTGCAATGGCCTGTACATGCAGAAAATCTTGTACCGCCTCGGACAAACAAGTTGGTGGCAGGATACCAAGTCATGGGAAAGGAAAAGGATACCAAGGACAAAGGAGGTGGTGAAACGAATTGGATGACATGTCCCTCTGATAAAACCCAAAGAACCCATGGAACTATAGTGAAATATTGCCAAAGGATAATAATATAGTCAAGCTCCCACTACATCAGAACCCTCTGATTAGTCTCCAGTACAGTTGGTGACATGTCCATCAACAATAAATAAAACAACAAGATGAGAAACCTCTGGAAGGGGGACAAAGGTAAATAAGGACCAGGATGGGAAAAGAATAGGGATGTGTCATGGCTCCAGCTGCAATAAATGTGCAACCAAAGAAGAATGGGTTGAATGTTGATGCTCAGATTACCTGAGATTCCAAAGTCACAGATACATGAACAAAAACATATCACCAAAGAAAATCCAGAAAAGAAAGAGGTGGCAAAAGTACCCAGGACAAGGTCACATCAAGAACCAGAAAATCCCAACTACAGTGAAACCACATGTGTAAAGTGAGAGCTGAAGGGGACAAACGAGCCAATATGGAAGTAATAGAGAATCATAGAAAAACAGGGAATTGGATAAAACATAACATACATGAGAAATCATGTAGAAAAATGTCGTATTAGGCCTAGCTGATTCTGCAGGAGGGGTAGGGAAAAACAAGATGAAATCCGGTGGTGTAAAAAGGCTATCAAATCTTCATCAGCCCGAACAGGTTTGACTTGTTTAGGAGGATTAGTGGATTAACCATATAATGATCAATCTCATGATGGATAATAGCAGAGAAATCCAACGATGGGTCTCCCCCATCTGCAGAATGCAAAAATAGTACTAGAGGTATAACACCCGATGTGAGAACATGAACCTCAGAATTCATTGTAGAAAAACATAAATCAAATCAAAGTGTTTGATATAAGATATGAGAGTGTGAGAAGAAAAAAAAATAAAGACTGGAAAATTAAGTTAAATTAAAAGATTCCTTCAGTGTAAAGAAAAAAATAATAATGAAGAAATCCCAATTAAGCAATTAAACTATTAAAATCACAATTCACACGAAGAGCACCAAAAGAAAAAACATCTGAACACAAGTACTGCTAAACAAAAAGTGATAGTTCAGTAGAATTTAATAGAAGGAGTCACATGCATCATGAGAATATGTCACATTCCTATTGGTGGGGAGGTTGACACATGATGATTTGCATGAGACACATTGGAATCAGTCAATTCCAATGGAGGGGAGATAGAATGCTTGTGGCATGCATAAAAATGAACAAGAATAGCTATTTATACGAGTGGAGGTAATGTACTGTATCGGAATTTCTGTCCTGGAACCATGAGTGATAGAAATAGTATGCTTCTCTGTACATGAAATTTTATACACTTTATGTTGGTGGCATCATTTGATTGGATGAAAGGCAATTACTGTAAGCTATCAACACGTGATTGTACTCTAATACAATTTATTTTCATAGAACAGAGGGGGAGAAAACCCATAATATTTGCATTTTATATCTACTTTATTCAATTTCTATCATTATTTCTGATGCTGTACATACATTTACACACACACATATACTGTATTCGCAAAGATATACACAGTTTATTTTATTACATTCTAAAAACAAGCATTTATTTTTGATTAAATCACAAAAATTAATGTCAAAAGCATTTTCAGTTTTACCATTTTCTGTCATCTTTTCCAACTCTTCCATATACCAGAGGATAACATTATCAGAAGAAGCTGAGCACAGAAGGTTTACTGAGGCACTCTCTGAAGTTACAAAACTCATTGCAGTGATATTGGTATGATGTCCCACAAGTAAGAGTGGCTATAAAATGTATTTAATGTACACATGTATTTAATACACCAAGATTAGTTCATAATATGTTGTTGTTTTTTCTTATCTAAATGCAATAAATCCAAGGCAGAAAATTTGTTTTAATAAATGTAACTTCACAATTTTACATCTCATTGAAGAAAACTTCACTAGATTATGTAAGAGCTATACTTTTATACAATCCACAATAGTCTAATTCCTAATGAAACTCCAATGGTTTGTTCCATGTTTAACAAGTGTCTCAAGTAATTTTGAAAAATATTTTGTGTTATTGATTATTAACCACAAAAGCTACACAATGGGCTATGACCAGTTTGATGTGCCAACTGCAAGTACTGAAACCCAATGTTTAGTGTTATAAGTTCTTAGACTTAACAGTGAGGCAATAGTGGGCTGCTTTATTACTAGTTAGGATCAATCATGGTATATTGCTTTATTATGTAATTTGTTAAAACATAAAAGTAAAACATTGAAATTAGCTTCCATTTTTTCAAATTTCCAAAAAGTCCACTTTTTTAAAATAATTCATGAAGGTAAGAAATTACAAAATACATTTGTGAAAAATTATATGATTTCTCTCAAATTTCGCATTCATTTTTTTCTTCGTGAAGAGAATATTTTTTAATCTCTAAATTGGCATGGAAATGGTCCTGGTTAAATTTTTGTTGGTTCTGAAAGACATTTCCATTGTGAATGATGTAAAAGAGCTCTCAAGCAATTGATTTTGGAGAAAGTGGGATTCTGTGTTGACAGCGATGCCAAGCACCATAGCTGCAAAGCATTCATCTGGGGGTGGGGCCTGGGGTGACAAAGTTTCCTCTTCACTCTCCGAGTCAGGCATATTGAAATTTCAACATATAAAAGCTAGGTTGTGATTGGTTGAGTGATGTTGATAATTGACCAGGGAACATGGCCTTAGGCTTACGAAAATAAGTGAATTTAGTCGAACATAGGCGAATGGAAAAAATCAACTCAAGTTTTAATTAACAAAAAATATTTTTGACATACTTCACATAAAATGCATGAGATTTATATATCACAGAAAGAGAGCATGTAATTGCATGACATTTGACAGGTATAATGTAAGTAGTTTTACACACAAGATTATTCTCTTACTTTTTAACTTTAAGTGAAAGTACAGTGTGCAAAAATTGAAAAAAAAATGTATTTGATAATTAAGATAAGTACATACCTTTTTAACTGCCACCTTTAAATTCCAAACACCAATGTCTTGTCCATTATTGATAGTTAGTGCTACATAGCAGCTACTACTTGCAATGACTGTGCCAGTAATAAGATGATTCCCCCATAACATGTGACAAGAAGACAAAAGAACAGACTCCATTTGCTATTGGTCAACTCACTTAAACTGGCAATAATGAGGGTAAAAAAAATTATTATAGTAACATTATAAGTTAAATTTATTTTTAAAAAGAACTAAATTATTCTGAAACAAGAAAGTTAAGAATTTATGATTTTGAAACCCAAATGTCAAGAAAAAATTAGCAAAATCTGCATTAAAAAGGTTTCTGCCATTCTCTATAGGAATTACTGCATTTAATTTTAAACTTATTTAGTTATTACCTCCATACACTCATCTTTAATTTAATCCAACCATCGAATCTAAGTTTTATAATAATTATAATGAATTTTCATGTAATTAGAAATCATAATTTAAAATAAAATATATAAAACTAACAACACTTGTTCTATGCAGAATGACAGAACAGCACAAGAAAATGTTAGTTTCTAGTAACATATTCACAGTGGCCATTGTTTATACTATTATTAATAAAGTTTTATACTTTTATAGCACACAACTTAGTTTCTCTCCAAGTCTAACTAAGCTTTCAGTTTCACAAGTTTAACACTACAGTACAACGTTTGATAGCCAGAATATGTCATGACTAAATCAAAAGTTTACCTTATGAAACAGATAAAACGTGGTTTATATACCTGTACTACACGTATGTAAACTGCTTTTTATCTGTTTCTGAACTGAACATGATATACTCTTATCACTATAAGTACATAATGTAATAATATATCAGAATCACGTTCAATTCATAATGTTTACCTTCCACTATTCCACTTCCACTCCAGTAAATAAATCAATGAATAATCATTCAGAAGCTGAGTGTGAGTATATTAATTTCTTATGCTAAGAGAATAATAGTAATACTAAAATTATTCTCTGTGTGTGTGTAATATTAACAGAAAGTGATAAAATATTTGTCCAATTACCTTAATAACAAATGAACATACACTTGTAACTTGTAAATATATCCCTAATTTACTATACGACATTCTCGTATTAATTCTCGCTAGCATCGCTACCAAAAAAAACATTTTTAAAATGTTCTGTTCTGGTCGATTCAAATATAAGCGTCACCTATGACTATTAAACTCTATAAATTGTTCAACCTGCTACCTAATTACTCCCTAAAATGTGTTTAAAAAATAAAGAAATCAATATTAATTAGACATTTACGTAGGTACACAACTGAATCACAGTTAACTATAAAGTATAAACTGTTAAAAAGAATTAGGTAGATAATTACTTCAACGAAAATATAATATTAAAATCATGAATATAAAATGTCTGAGTATTTCGAATTTCCATATGAACTTAAGAGTAAAAAAAAAAATTCTCCATAATCTTTTAAAATTTGTAGTGCATGCTTCGGGGATTTTAAACAGTTTAATAAAAAATAGAAAACAACCTTAATACTCCAGATCAAGACACACTTGCGGCCAAAAACAACCAGCAGGAAACACTATGTGTTATTAAACATCTCGAAACATTGCATTATTTTTTAAATTGGATAAATTCACTAAACTACACTCACTGTCCAAAGACTTTATGTTCGATAAGTTATTTTCAAACGTTTAAATATAAAACATACTGACAACTTCTTCAATAGAATTAATACGTTTTACAGTAACTTATCGTAGAACATCAACTATGTTATTTGTTTCTTAGTGAATTTATCAATTTCAAACTCTTGCCTTTAATATTGTTGCGTCAGCGAGTCACATGACACTGTGACGTAACGTTTCTAGAACTATCATGTTTTTTGTCGAATGTTCAAGTTCTTACTAGAAATAGGTTACGTTGGTATATAAAAGAAGGGAAGGTAATGTGTAGATAGATAGTGAGTAATTGAACTGCAGTCAGAGAGAGACGTATTGTTGTAGTTAACATTCGTTCGTTATTATAGTTTGTTATAACGCGACTGTTGAGAATAAGTGTATCGGTAAAGTTGTATTCGGAAAGAATAAACCAGTTTTATTAAGTAAAGAACTTGTGTCGGTTAAGTTTCGTCGGAACGAAGTTACGGAAAATTAATTAACAAACGGAGACGTAACAGACCTATAACTGGAACTATTAACTTAAATGTTGACAACAAGAAGTTTAGACCTATAACTAAAGCTATTAACTTAAATGTTAAAAAAGAGAAGTTTAAACCTATAGCTAAAGCTATTAACTTAAATGTAGACATCTGTAGGTTAGGCCTATAGCTAAAGCTATTAACTTAAATGTTAAAAAAGAGAAGTTTAAACCTATAGCTAAAGCTGTTAACTTAAATGTAGACATCTGTAGGTTAGGCCTATAGCTAAAGCTATTAACTTAAATGTTAAAAAAGAGAAGTTTAAACCTATAGCTAAAGCTATTAACTTAAATGTTAAAAAAGAGTAGTTTAAACCTATAGCTAAAGCTATTAACTTAAATGTAGATATCTGTAGGTTACACCTACAGCTAAAGCTATTATCTTAAATTTTTACGAGCAGAAGTTAAGACCTATAGCTGGAGCAATTAACTTAAATGTTGGCAAACAGAAGTTTAAACCAATAGCTAGAGCTATTAACTTAAATGATGACAAGCATAAGTTTAGACCTATAATTAAAGCTATTAACTTAAATGTTAAAAAAAAGAACTTTAAACCAATAGCTAGAGCTATTAACTTAAATGTTGACAAACAGAAGATTAAACCTATAGCTAAAGCTTTTATCTTAAATGTTGACGAGCAGAAGTTTTGACCTATAGGTAGAGCTAATAACTTAAATGTTGACAAACAGAAGATTAAACCTATAGCTAACGCTATGAACTTAAATGTTGACAAGCAGAAGTTAAACCTATAGCTAGAGCTATTAACTTATATGTTGACAAACATAAGTTTAAACATATATCTAGAGCTTTTAACATAAATGTTGATTAAAAGAAATTTAGACCTACAGCGAAAACTATTATCTTCAATGTTGACGAGTACATGTTTAGACCTATAGATAGAGCTATTAC